GTCCAGTAACACCTAGAACTTACTAGGGAGTTTTCCTTCTGCAACTAGTAGCCGTCTGTAACTATCTACTGGCTATGCCAAGGATCCTCACGAAAGTCCGTTCAGGGGCAAACAGACTGGGTAAAGGGAAAAAAAGGAAACTGAATGTATTTGTGTATATGTGTATGTGTGGTTTATGTATGTCGTCCATCCAACCGTAACAAAACAATAGATATCTCTAGTTGGGGAGAAGAAGGGCTGGGAGGGGGAGGAGGGGTGTTTGGAAGAGAAACGATGCGCTCTCGCAACCGTAGTACAATCAGTTTTCCACCATTTTGGCGACATTACTGAAGGAATTGGAGGAGGAGAAAGAGAAATAGAATGAATCAACAGAATGTGCAAAAATTACAATACAACAAAAAAAACCAGCAATAGAGGGGGAATTTGCGCATGAATAGACCGAGAATTCATGGAATATTGCAATATCAGTCAGTGTATGAAGCCAATAGGGAAGAAAAAACTTCTAGAGCACTTTTCACGAGACAAATTCCTACACACAACAAACTGGCAACCATTGCATGAACGCGAATGCGTTATATATGGGTGCAATCTAGGAGATTTACCCGTGTTCCGAACAGGACAACACTAGTACTGTACTATCGGAAAAAGTCGACCAATCAGACGTTACAAAGACACTTCTAGGTGGGCGGGGCATCTATGGCCGCTATTGGTCGGCTTTTTTTCTCTAAGCGGATAAATTTCCTAAACAACACCTCTTTACTCGCTTGAGAGGACGTTAGGCGTTGTGTGAAAGTTGAAAGGCGAACAGGATTTACTGCGCTTCTAGCTCAAGCTACATTTGCGCGCGCGGGGGCCACAATGGACTCATCTGAGGCCAGTATAATGACAATGAGTGTATGTGAAAGCCGGGACCGGGTAGTAGGACTCTTTTTCTGGAATATCTAGCAAAAAACAACTGGTAATTAACGAACGAGTAACGGGAATAGGTCTGCCAGACCCAGAAGACGGGAACATACAACAGCAAATGGCGACGTCGGCGCGAATGCAAACGACAATACTTCAGAAAACAATTGACTAAACAATATTATCATAGTGAAAAGGAAGAGAGAAGGAAAAAAATCATGGACGCAGTCCGGCGACGGGGGGGGGGGGAGCATTTTGCACTTTTGCTGCTTCACTAGTTCCGGTTTACAAGTCTCACTCTGGTGAAACCTGTGAACTCTTGTGAAGCTGAAGCAAGCTCGTCGAGCCACCTTGGTGAAACCTGTCAACTCTTGTAAGCTCTCTACACGTGCCGACACGTCAATGGGAAGTAGCAGAAGGGCGAAATGCCTCCCCCCCCCCGTCGCCAAACTGCCCCAAATCATGTATACGCCGTGAAAATTACACCATCATTATATTTAAATCTAGTAGTATGTAGTAGAACAAGGAGATAAAAACTAATTGGAAACCTGCTAAACATATGCAACCCACGATGATGGTATGATATAATGGTAATGTAAGAGAGAAGCACACTTACTTCGCCAACAGTACGAGTCAATCTCAACGTATGTGGTGAGGCAGGCGCATCGCTTGTTGCCAGCACAATAGTTACCAGTTCCGCAATCAGTGGATACCTCACATGGACGACCTACTGTGCCATGTTGAGCATTCACACCACAGGAGGCAAGCGTTAGTAAGGCGGCGGCGGCTAAGCGTAACCACGCCATTGCAGCAAGTGTGCGTGTCTGTGTGAGTGTAGGTGAGTGAGAGCAGGGGCGGGGCAGGATCGCACGCGCTCCACACCGGGTAGTGGATAGCTCACGACGACGGAGGCATCATCGGAGCAGCCTCCGCAAACGCAAGCTTAGACAGTGCCGCCTCCGTTCTATTTAACGGATCAACACGACACAATGGCGCGCCACCAGCACCACCACCTATGGTGGTTGTCGATTGTGGTTCCAAATGACGAGCTGCTTCCTCCGTTAGCGCATACATCGACGAGCCAGTCGTTATATCGTCACCAGTTGACTGTGCCAAATCTGCCGACGCCTTCAATGCGGCTGTCAACACGCGGCCCAATTTCTCGGCATCCGACTGAAAATAAACACATTAAAATATGAAGAGGTCACATAAATCGTGCCATGCAGTTCGGCTACGAGGGGGGGGGGCTTTTTGCACATTCCTGCTTCACTAGTTCCAGTTACAAGTCTCACTCTGGTGAAACCTGTGAACTCTTGTGAAGCTGGAGCAAGCTCGTCAAGCCATCATGGTAAAACCTGTCAACTCTTGTAAGCTCATGAAATAGCTCTCTAGATGGCTCGACACGTCGATGGGAAGTAGCAAAAGTGCAAAATACCCCCCCCCCTCCTCGCCGAACTGCGCCCGCCGCACACGCCTAGATGGAGGGGGAGGCCTAACTGTGTACTTCATTTCAACATGACGACGGCTGCGTTTTTGAAGGAATATTGCAGTTGAGAGACCTTTGTAATCACGTCTTTGGTCAGCAGAAGACAGGGTGACAGTTGTTTTAAATGGAATGTCATGTGAAAAACGCATCCTACGACAGATTCAAATGAGGTGCGAAGCCACGCCCCTCCCATATCCAGGAGTATAACTACACTGACTAATCAAGTATTGTCTGCAATAAATGTTAGCAGAGCGGGCGGTCACCAAGCGGCTGCAGGTAACATGCAGCATGAGAATCACTTTCACTCAACTCACAGACATCACAATCACGCAGTTCCTACATGCTGCTGGGCTGTTTGGCAAGCAAACCGGACGCGTCCTGCCGTTGAGGGAAAAATTTGCAAAATACTCCCCTTCTTCAAAGGTTCCTCTCCTCTTGTACGACCCACCTCCCCGTTTTACATCCCCATCCTTCCTAACGTCTTCCTAAATTCTCTCAACTTCCTATCACTTCTTCGATTTTTTTCTCGAGAACTCCTCCACTTTTTCCCCGAACTGCTGCCGCCAGTGGGGAAGGGGTCCTAATGGCAAGTGCGGCCCCCTCCCGTAGCGTCTGTATATGACCCCCTCGCTGAGATCTAACGTGCGACGTGCCTTGTGGCAACAGCAATTCACTTCAAGGTGGTAATTCCTCAGCGGGTGAAGCCAGCTGGCTGGGGAACATTCTGCAATTTTCCGAGCGATGCCGCGATTAAAATATTTCAACCGCCTTCAACTCAGGTCCGTAAGTCCTAGGTTCAATGTTATGTCATGCTATGCAGCATGCGACTTCAGCATAGCATTTTCGGAAAACCCCTCACTTCCTTAAAATCAGAACCCGCGATTATTCGCCATCTCAGATGGTGGATTAGGGGGACTAAGCCGGTTTCCAACCGTTAGGACGCGACAAGAAGGTTGAGTAACTCGACTGCTATACAAAAGTAAAAAAAGCACAAAAAACATGCCACCTGCCCTAGATAGAACCCCATTTCGATCCCAGTTTGTACGAGCCCAATCAACTCTATCTCCAAAAACTACGCCCTCATATGCATAGCTGATTCACCGGTAAGATTTCTACTATCGTACAAGTGACAATTATCATGCTTTTCGTTCTGCAATCTCATTTTTCACTGGAAGCCGCATCTAGAGGCGGAATCTGAGCGGAGTCACTGGAAAAAAGGAGGAGCATTCTGACCTTTTAATTGCCCCCTAATAGAATTTTTGCCGCAACCGGTACATAAGTTTGTTCGTCGGCGTACCACCGCTCACCTCCGAACGCCCATCATTTCACTTCGATAACTGATCGCGGACCGTGCCTTTGAGTTCAGCAAAGAGTGTTGCAGAATTTTGCAAGCCTCTAAAAGCAGTTCATCACTCGCCATAACAGAAGAACTGGGCGACTACCTGAAGTGGAATCCCTTCCAGTTGTACAACAAGGAGGCCCTCAGCCGTAAGTCTACGGACAACTTGCACTCAACTTACTTGACTGTGACAGTCTTCTACCTCTCATCTAAATAATCCTCTGACCATAATGCCCTCAAATATTCCAGCTCTCCCGTGGCTCAAACACCCTGCAGTCCTACCGCTTTGAATAAAGATTCATACAGGGGTGGGGAGCAGGAGAGTCACTTTGCCTCATTGACTTTCGAGGCGCTATAAATTACACTTTATCAAATTCTGATCGGACATTTTTACTACCATATTGAAGAGCACATTAAGTACTATCACGACACTCCGCCACAGCCTTCTGGACGAACGCCATCGAGAGATTCTGGCACGCGACCGCGATGTGGTACCTGAGATCAGCGCGGGTAGTCGATTTCTCCGCCACCGTAGACCACCGCCCGAACTAGGTAATTGAGTGGGTTCAGGTCAGGGGACATACTTCAATATTACATCTTCTTCAGGTACGAAACGCCCTTCCATTCGAAGTAGGCGGGAGTTTTTCCAAAACCCTTTGATTCCATGTGGTGGCACCCAAACCTGTAGCAGCACAAGGTCTCCAAGAAGGTACGGGCGACCACATGTAGGGAGGATATTCTTCTCGAGTTACTTGATGTAACCGCCAGCGCTCACCTTCAGTCGGGGTCTACAAAGAAAATATCGGTCTTCCCCTTTCCAGGTACCCCGGTCCATACCATCAACTCGCGCCTCGGCGAATACGGTGAAGATGATGTCCTAGACCGTAGCGACGTTGCCGTAGCTGCTCGATGTGGGAGGTCTTGCAGATCAAGAGTACTGACCTCCAGGTAGCTATCTGTGGATGACTTCATTCAAGAAGTTTCGCAGCTGTTTGGAGGCGACGTGAATTCCAAAGGTGTTCTCCAGTCAGGCCGCGACTGGAGATGACTTCATATTTTGGCGTACATGAAGGCGATTGGCGGCAGCCTGCTCCAGCTTATAGAGGAAGATCTTGGGTATCTTCCACTCTGGTACTCATATCCACTTCCCCTGTCTGGGCTGCGAAAACTTCGTTGATATGTGGCTCGGCCGAAATGACTTTTTTTTGCCCCCCCCCCCCCCCTCCTGTACAGTCACTCGAAGCTTTCTAAGCGCTGTCTTATGCGTCTGCGCTACAGAATTTCGCCACGGGACCATTCGTTTACTAGTATACTAGAACGAGTCCAGAGAGATAAGGAACTCACCTCGCAAATGAATCCATGCGTAACTAGGTCCTGTGTAAGCGCATTCGGATCCTCGTCATGTGAGAATTCTGTAGTAAGCTGTCGATTCATCATGTCTTCCAATTGTAACCATATCGTCAGCTCACTGAATTGATTTGATCATTTTTGAAGGGAAATTTCAACATAATAAATCATTGCAACCAACTTTCGTGCTGTGGTCACACGCATTTGCCGAATCGCTCTTGTTTCACAGTGTTGAACAGTCTCGTCGGTGGCAGGAGGTGATGCAACTACTGGATCTGTTGTCTCAGGCGCTCGTGGTAGAGATGTCGTTGTGAGCGACGATGTTGAGGGTTCATGGCCTTCCGTGGCGGTTTGAGCCTGGGACGTACGTGAAGACGGCTGCGTGACCTGCAACAACGGAGAGTTAAAACAGGACAAACTGTGGAGGAAAACGCAATTCTGCTGTTGGCATCAATACTGGCGAAACGAACAGCGAAGCGCGTTATCTGTCACTGTGCTCCCAAGGCTGCGTTCATACTTTGCGGCACCGTCCACCAGGTGTAGAGAATATGGTGAAGTAGGAGAATCTCAGATAGCTAGTGGAGTATGGGCAAGTAGGAGGGAGCAGACAGTTGCACTAGGCGTCGTGAAATTGCGGCGTGTGCAACCGCACGTACTACTACACACACCGTACATTAAATTGCATAATTCTGTGCTTTAACAGTTGTAACGGTGCGACCGCAAATGCCGCATTCACGAAGCCCAATCCAGCTTCCCATACTGATCAGCTGTCTGCTGCCCTCCTACTTCCCATACTCTCAACTCCTGGACGCTGATGGGTGCTGAGACGCTGCCGTTCCCTAGATGGATATCTATACTTACCTAGTCGCTGACGCTGACGGGCGCTCAAAACGCAGGTGGTCAAGTATGAACGCAGCCTAACATAAGCATGTCCAATCTCCTCCCGTTCTCCACGATTCTCGCGACCTCAGCTCTTCCCCCAATATTTAACTAGCGAAGAACCACTCCAATGACTCTGGTGGACTCTGGGTTCATTTTCTCGAACATTAACTTCTTAGCTGTAGCTCTTACGCTCTTACGGAAACTGGAAACAACACTTACCGTGGTTTTCAGAGGCTGATGAACTAAGGGAGCAAAAGCAGTGAGCGGATAGATTCCGTTTCGTACATCTTCGACAATTTTCTCAAGATCATGCTGGAAGGCAGGAACTTGACAGTAGGCCATTTCCCGTACCCCAGTTTCTCTTCGAGCAACAGCGGCAACCTGTAAAGTAAAAGTAAAACTGAGATTACCACGCGGTTTTGTATAAAACTCCATAACACCGCAGCTAAAGAATTCTATTTGAAAAATAAGATGATTCGAGGAAAACTGACAAACTAACTACTAGCTAAGAGATTACCTTTTCTATATCAGGAACTCTGAAAGCATCCGTAGGCAAATCATCGAACAACTTGGTATCCACGATTTTATGAGCGGCCAAAAGCTTCAGAGAGTGCACCTGGAAACAAAATGCAAATCAGTTTGTTTCATCAGGTACACAGAAGAATTTCGATAAAGAAGCTGGACTACCACAAGCATGCTGAGTTACCAGCACACAGCCCCCTAAACACTAGGTCCAGGTTCGAATCCTGGCCGGGGTTCTGTCTTTTGCCCATAGCACAACATTCTAGGGATATTTTCTGGCAAAACTATGTGTAACGATAAACGGTTTATCATAATGAAACTAGTTCAGGAAGTCAGGTTATTCCAAAGGAGATTCGGAACTTATTCACCTCAAAAAGGACTGGATGAAAAAGCAGCTGTCGCGCCGACGGTCTCTTCAACGGATCCCTTTGCAAACACAGTTGAATGAGATCCTGGAAAAGAGGATATTTTAAGAAACCACGACAAATTCGCTGTTTACCCCCAGAATCGAAATGAAATGAATAAGGTACGGTACGTACCCGTTGTTTTTCGTCATCCAAAGATCGAACGGCTTTCTCAATGCTTTCTCGACAGATGGGACCATCAGTTGCTCCATTTTGAAAACCAGACAAACCACCCATAACGGCTATCTGGAATAGTTAACTCTAAGGCAACGAAAATTAGAAAAAACTCTGTATATTCACCTCAACAGCACATACACCAAATGAATAGATATCAGCAGCTGGTGTGACCTCAGTGCAATCTGCAATTAGAGAAATCAGTGACAGCAGTGGAAGAGATTTTTTTTCTAGCATTTACCGCGAGTTAACAAAGAAATTCCAAAAAGGAAAGAAGATATGTAGTGGCACTGCTCTTCACGCGCGCGGACTGAGGGCCAGACCCCGGATTGCCAAAATAAGCAACTGAGGTTCCCATCCCCATGGGGTTGACTGATTGGGACCACACTCGTCAGGAAGGATGAAACCACTTTTTTTACATCGGCTGTCACGTTCAATCGAATTAAAAAACGTCTTGGCGTTGGGAGCTAAATACAAACTCCGAATTTCCACATCCGGTACGACCTCTCCCTCTTCTACAACCGACCAGTCATTAGGAACTTTCCCAAAATTTTGGCCTCGGGCGGTGAACGTGGGTAGACACCTACAATAAAGGAAGGAATAGTTATCCGACGCCGCCAACTGAGGGGGAAGGTGGGAGGAAGGGAGGGAGTGTAGGGAACAGCGCGCGTGAAATGGGAAAATTCAACTATAAGAAAGAATTCTTTCCAGAGTAAACACGACCCCCCCCCCGTCCTCTCCAGCGACCCAATACGATCCATCCATTGGGGATTCCGCAAGGTACGACGCGCCCTGAATCAAATGGGCCAAAACCCATTCTGAATAAACTGCGACGATAGAGGAAGTAATAGAATGGGCGGAATTTCCCGAAAAGCATTGCTCAACGCCAAATGTTCCATGCTTTATCCTCTCCAACAGAGGAGTGGGTGTTGGCGGTAGGCGGTTGTTACCAAAGTCATTGGTGGAATCGCCGAGAGGGGGCATTTGGTCATACCTCACCCTTCCACACGTGACGTTGTCAACAACCGCCCACTCCCAACCGTCGTGTCTACTGCCTTCAAAATAGGGTGGAAACAGGGCGTTTCAAAAACTCGCAACATACACGGAAAAACAGCCTAACACCTCAAACGCAAATATCTGCTTATTGCTAATTAAAACGATGTTAACTTACATTCGTATTCCGGTGCCATATAATGCATATTCTTCAGATTATCACGGCACGTCTTCACATGATGATTAATCGCATCGGGCGCAACTGAAAAGGAAACAAAATGCAAACAAAATAGTGGCTTACGGTGATATTACATCACCTAACTGTAAAAAGTTGTTAAAACTCAGATTCTTCCGAATAATCAAGAAAAAACAACTCAATTTCTGTATGCGCTTACAGTTAAAGCAAGTACATAAGAAAATGTGAGTCAAAAAAGGCTCATGCTAATCTAGAACTACTTGCCCGATGGAATGACAAAAAGAATGTGGCCTTCAGGGTAAATTGTCTTCTCTTCCTCAGCGTTACAGCATTGGCATTGACCTAGTGAGATATTAAGAAATAAAGCACATTCCTTACAAATAATGTGCTCTGTAGATGGATGTAAAAGTCGTGCAATACGGGAAAAATATACAGAACCGGTGGAAAAACACAATTTTTCAATGAGTTCTTTTGTGCCACTGCTGTTTCATGCCAAACTTACTCATTGTGCTTGATATATATTTTGCTTTTATGCTATTTTCACTCTATAGTCAGTATTTACTGCTGTTGAAATCTGACCTTCCGGACGAGGGACGTAGATAGTTTAGGGACAATTTCGAACGCTCCTTTTTCTCCAGAGAAAACCAAAAAATTGGGCGACTCGCTATGACATTTTTACTCACCCGAATCACTCTTTGACACATTATAGATTTCCATAGATTGTTATTCGAATGGCGCTATTCTGCTTAGGAGGGACATTATGTACCTTTGCTAGCTTCTTTCTTCAAAGTCATGTCAACTAACAAGTCTCATTTTATCGAATCCGTGAACCCCTGTGAAGTTGCGGAATGGTACATATGAGCAACTATGGTAACAAGGGTATGCAGCTTTTACAAGGAAGCATGTACAGACTAATATGAGCCATTTGTTCCCCCCCCCCACCCCAAGCCGAATTTCACCAATTCATTCACTATTGAATTTCTGTCTTAGACTTGAAGTTGGAGGCTCCGCGTTTCGACTACTTTAGAACCAACATTGTAGCGGACACCTATGTTGATGCACGAAATTGTCATGCGCACCCTTAATGAAGTACTGCAACCCCACTTAACTGCAGAGCCTAGATCTTCACACCAGCTTAACCAAGAAAGTAGAGCCCCTACAGCAGGAACCAGTTTGCCCCACTACAATAAAGCCGCGATGGGTTAAAATCGCCCCGTTTTCACAAAACGAAGGTGGAGCATTTTGCAAAAAGTTTAGGAAATAGGAGCAGCTCTGAAGTGTTTTCAAATTAATTTCGTCGTGAAATGACACACAACGTACCACATCCAATTTTAATCAGTCCATTTTGTTGTATGAATACCGTATCGCACGTAAGGTTTCCATGAGTAATAGGTGGTACACATGAATGTAAATAGTTGAGCGCCGATAGTATCTGAGTAGTCCACTTTTTCCATGCCTAAAACCATCTGATAAAGATCTCTGAGAACTATTAAAGTCAAACTTATCGATTTGCACCAAGGTGCGCCTACATCAGATTTTATTGATCGAAGCAAATCGTCTTGGAAAACTGCTTTGGAATATGTTAAAATATGTGAGCACAAAAGGCAAGAGACTGACCACCTCATAGGGCCGCGTTCATACTTTGCGACTGAGGAGATTCAGCTATGTGCGATTCGGGAGGCTCCGGATTCGAGAGATCAAGCGACGAGGAAGGTACAGGATTGGTAGATATGGCGAATACGGAGATTGAGCGATCTGGCGATTTGGGAAACTCAGGATCTCTCGAAACTCCGCATTGCCGAATCTCTCAATTCGCTGGATCTCCCAAATTGCCGGATTGCGGAACATCCGTGGTCGCTAGCGACCAGCGCCGATCGATACTCATTCACTCCCTTGACGCGCAATCGCCGGGAACGCCGTATGAACGCGAACAAGGGAAGAGAAACGCCAAAAAAATTCATATAATAATCGCTCTACTCTTCCGACACAATTGCTTTTGCTCACATTTTTTCGAAAAAAAAAACTCAACTGAGAACTCGATGGGGAACACGAAGTGACCATAACGCTGTACCTTATAAGAAACAACCCACTAACCTTGATGCTTAGCGGAGATCCAGATTTTCGTGTACGTTGCAAAAATAAAGACATTGACCCCGATGACATATACTCCGTAATAAAGATAATCTGGAATAATAATAATAACAATTCAACCATATGTACAAAAGAGGAAGATAGCCTAAAAAACTCACTCTAGGCTTCTCCGACTTTGCATCAGTCCAGTATTTATGGAACTTCACTAGGTTCGTATGCACCAGTTGAGTAAGATTGTCGAAAACTGCGTTAATTTTCTCCTACAACCAATTCACGTTAAATCAAAAAAAATCCATAAAATGCCACTCCTACTAGGGTTCCTCAAGAGCTGTACACTTTCAGCAGTACGGGAGGATTTGCTACTTTTAACGTAAACGACAGAACGTAAAAAAAGAAAAATTTACAAGCTATTAAATTTCTCTGAATGAAAAAGGATCTGAAAGAAAACAGTGATAAATAAGTGAGTGATAAACAAAAAGTGTTAAATAAAATAGAACTAAAATAAAAAACAAAAACACAGTTAGGTAAAGGCGATGCCGGAAACTGAATTTAGGTAAAGGCGATGCCGGATCTAAGGTCCCTTGCTGGAAAGAGTTTTGACGAATTTGCCTTTTTCGGAGGCTGGGGTGGTAATAACTTCCCATAATTCCCGTAACATGGAACCTTAAAAAAATCCATCTGCAGCTGGCTGCGATTTCCGTGTTGCCCCTTCTTGAGAGCTACACACTATGCTTTAAATTACATAACGATTCTTTTAAGGTTCCATGTTACGGGAATTATGGGAAGTCA